GATCTGTTCTCAATTTCCGAGTGAAGGGATGAGATTTTGTGAAGAGAAAAAGCTCCGTGGGCAGAAAGATCTCGCCAAAATCGCAAATGAAACCGTTTGGCGATAAAGGAGAATGATTCAGTCAAGGTTACGGTTTATGATTTTAAACTCACATGGGCCAAATAAAAACATCTCTCACAAAATTTTTCGGGCTCTAACTTATCTTGGGTCAATAACAGATTTGCCCCTATGGATAAGAAATTATTTAACATGAGCCGAAAATAATAGTACAAAGGCCGAGAATTTTTCAATAATTTGGGCCGAAAGGATATAACCAAATGGATCGGATAATTTCCAAATAAAATTGGGTCGAGACGGGGGCGAAAGCTATTCTACGCGTAATAATCGAAGATCACCCAACGATAAATCTAATATCTAAATTAATTCTAATTTATACTCGATCATCACAAAACAAAATAATTCACATAATAATTAGACACAATTAAGTACACGATAATTTAACAATATAGCAGATAAATGCAACGGAAAGAACAAGCAGTCAAAAATAATAATGAACAAATAATATGACACAAAGAAAATAATCAATTATAAAGCAAATAAATAATCACATAGTTTCCAAAAATTCTAATAAACGAACGGGGCGCTACAATCTACCCTCCTTAAAAGATTTCCATCCCCGGAAATAAAAGAAAAAACAAAGCAAACAACTACAATACGAAGGAGTACAAAGGGATCAAAAAGCGAAGTTCGGATATCTCCTCCTAAGCTCGGCCTCGATCTCCCAAGTCGCCTCGGTCTCGTTGTGTCGGCTCCATAGCACCTTCACCAAACTCACTGCCCGGTTCCTCAGCTGATGGACCTTCCGGTCCAGTACGGCAACCGGCACCTCCTCATAGGTGAGGTCTCGCTCGACCTGCAGCTCGCCGAAGTCCACCACATGGTCGAGATTATGTGCATATCTACGCAGCATGGAGACATGAAATACATCATCATGCACCCCCGACAAGGCCGGTGGCAAAGCTAGCCGATACGCCAAGTCTCCG